TACACATAATATAAATGTTTTGGCAGGTATGTCCATGATAAACTTATCAATTTTCAATTCATAGAGTTTGTCTCTGTAAAAAAAATTACTCAATTTAACTTCACTATACTCAGAAATAAAATTATCCAACAGTTCCCTTGCAGTAGCTGGTTTGGAAAAACCATGATAAACTCCTATAACAAATGGAGCATTACATCCCAGATTATTAACACTACCTAAGATTGGCCAAAATTGAGATTTTGAACTTTTTGCTAAAGGTAATCCATCTATGTTTATATCAATTTATATAACATCTATGGATTCAGATAAAATCAAATTATTTTTATCCAAAATATATTGTACTCCATTCACTAACCCAAAGTGATAATAATGGCCCTTTGAGGTAATTGAAATTACATTGGATTTTTTGGTTTTTAAAAGTGTTCGGCAATCAATGGGCAAGTTTTGAAATTCAGATTCAGAGAACCCTTTTTTCAAAATACCCAGAAGTTTATTGAAGTTTCTGTTGGAAATGCAACCACTAATTGCCCAGTCAGTTAGGTCTTTGGCTAAAGTCGTTTTTATAATAGGATTAGCGGGTATTTTAGGTTGCAGGTTTATTGGAATTGGCACTGCTAGGCTTTGAAGGGAAAGGTGAGAGAAACATGGGAAAGTGTATCCTGAGCTTGAAGGCATAGGTTGTGTTGTTGCTGGCTCAGGGTTATCCCGGTTATCAGAGTCATGAGACTCTTCTTGATTGTTACTGCTACTTGTTGTGTTAATAAAACTAGAACATGAGGATCTCGCTGACGATGCAGTTAACTTTGAGAGCAGTTCTCTATTTTTATTTCTGGTTATTACACGGCGAAGCCACTCTTTAGACATTTTACCAAACGGTTTACGATATTTTTGATCCTAAAATATCAGAAAATCAGCTTTGTTTTGGTTTGAAAAAAAAAAACGATTCTAGAACGGTCCAAAACAATCGCACAGTTATTGGAATTTTTGATAGCCTAGCCGTTGTCATTTTGTTGATTAATAAAAACTGTGCGATTGTTTTGAACTTTGAACCGTTCTAGACCCGTCCTTTTCTCAAACGATTCAAATCAAAACAAAGCTATAAATTCGTAGGTTATAGGTATTAAAAAAAAGGGTTATTGTTTACAAAAGGGGGGGCGCAGGGGGCCAATATTTCGAAGTATTTGTGTGGTTTTTTAATATTATATGAAGTAAATAGTTATTTATGATATAAGTGCTAAAAGTGACATTTTATTTTGTGAAAAGGGAAGTTTGGGACACGACGCCGAAGGCGGAGTGTTCCATCCCTTTGAACAAAATAAAATCACTTTTAGCACGAATATCATACACTATTTTTTCTACAAACACTCTTTAAAAGTCCAATTAACGCATCCTTGCAATCCTCAATTTCAAATCTTTCATCTAATTTATTTATGAAATAGGTTGCTGGCAAGAAAAAAAAACGAATTTGTTTATTTTTATTTGTTATCTCTGTTTGTCATTGTTGATTAGTAACGTCAAATAATCACGAATTTTTGCTTAAGGTTTTTGCACAATTTTTGGTTTTTGCGTGGTTTCATCCAGTTTCATTGTGGTTTATTTTCCTGGCGATGGAAAGTGATCAAGACAATGAATTTCTCCCGGCGGAAATTGAAGAAGCTGCCAATAAAGCTACTCTTGAATTATTGCTTAGCAAGTCAAAGCAACAGTACGAGTTTTCATACGATCGTTTCTTGAAATGGTGTGATGAAAAAAAAGTAAGTGGCAAGGAGGCCAGTGAAAAAGTGCTCCTTGCATACTTTGAAGAAAAATCAAAAATATGGAAATCTTCTACGCTTTGGTCAAATTACTCAATGATAAAGGCGATGATGAACATAAATAATCAGGACATAAGCAGATTTTACAAGCTTGTAGCTTTTTTAAAGCGAAAGGGTGAAGGATATCGACCGAAAAAGTCAATAGTATTGCGGAGTGAACAAATCGATAAATTTCTCGCAGAAGCCCCGGATGAAATACATCTTATGCGAAAAGTTGCCGCAATTTTCGGTGTATTTGGAGCTTGCCGTCGAGAAGAACTTTGCAATTTGACATTAAATAACATTGAAGATTTGGGAACTTCATTAGTTGTGCATATACCAGACACTAAAACTAATGTGCAACGAAATTACGTTATTAGTGGTACATTGTATATAAACTACTATAAGAAGTACCTATCCCTTCGACCAGCGGATATCAATCACTCAAGATTTTTTATAAAATACAGCAATAATAAATGTGCCAAGACTCCAGTTGGAATCAACACATTTGGTAAGATCCCTGCCGAAATCGCTAAATTTCTGAATTTGCCTGATCCCCATCTTTATACTGGACATTGTTTCCGACGTTCCTCAGCGAGTTTGTTGGCGGACTCTGGTGCTAATCTTACTATAATCAAGAGACACGGTGGATGGAAGTCTAGTACAGTAGCGGAGGGGTATATAGAAGACTCGCTACAAAATAAAAAGAACATTGCGGATCAAATTCTGCCCAAAACTTCGGAGAATAACATTGCTCTTTGCCCTCCTGGTACAAGTTTTACCAAAATAAATTCAGTAACTGCTACCAACGAGATTGGCCATGGAGTTTCTTATTCTAATTGCAGTTTCGCTAATTGTACGTTTAATTAAATAAATATTTTATTTTGATTTAAAATTTCCTATGTTTTTATATTTTCTGATCAGTGCTAAAAGTGATTACTTTTAGCACTAGTGCTAAAAGTAATCACTTTTAACACCAGTTTCATGAAATGGCATTTTAGACACTGACAGCATCCGTTAAAAATGACACTTTTAGTGACGTTTGTAGAAAAAAGTATTTATATAGACTATTAACTTACCTTGGAATCCTTGTCCATTGTAATCGCTGAATATTTACACACAAATGTTAAAACAAAAACAGAATTGAGAATGGACCTTGTAAAGGCAAAGCTCCAGAACCGATACAACAACCAATAAGCTACAAAAATGCCGAAAATTAAGCCGAGCTCAAGCCACCATTTGCTTTTAGCACAGACACGTACAGGCACTGAACGTCGAAGGGATGCAGAGAAAAGAAGAAATGCAAAATGCAATAAGCAAGTGGGCCCTGAATAAGCTTTGCCGGCCGGCCTTCCTCTACCTTTTGCCATTTATCGATCGATATGGCGACTATGGCATGCGGCATGGCGTCGATTTGCTTTCGGTTTAGTTCGTATTCCCGATGTCGTACGGAACGCTATTAAAGAATAATGGCGGCAAAGTTTTCGTTTTTCGAATATGTAATTATTCTGCTATATTGCAGCTAGTTTACCTTTGATATTAAATTAACATTGCAAAAATAATACCAATATAACCTAAAGGCATCTTTGCGATGTAACCTTTCCTACAAGTTACATTTTTAATTTTGCAGCAAGTTTATATTTGGTAGTTATTATAACATTGCAAAAATTATAACAAATCAATTTAAATGCATATTTACTATGTTAACTTGCATACAAGTTATAATTTATAATGTGCGTTAAAATTTCAAGGATATTTCATTTTGTAATGTATTAAGGTAATGTTGTGTCAAACATAGTTGAATATTACATTGGAATGTTGCGAAAGTAAGACTTTGGTAAGAGTAGAGTAATATTGCATAGACTTTCGTAACATTGCATGTTTAGTGGGTGGCAAGCTGTCAACGGTGGAAAAGACATTTTCCGCAGAAGTTAGGCGTAATGTTTTTCCACAAGTATTTTTGTTCATCTAATTTATCAAAAATTGATCAAAAAATCTGTGTAAAATCTAAATTTTCTCAATGGAAAATAGTATCTATAGATAGTAATTTGATTTGAAGTAAAAAATAAGTAGTACCTATATTTTGAATTAAAACATTGTGCTCATAGGAAAAACCTATTTCAAAAACTTGGTGGGTTTTTGTTGAGTTCTGAGTTAGAGATTTTTACTTGGAATGTCAAAGATCTTAGAACACAAAAACCCTACAGAAGCACAACTCTTGCAAAAACCCAAAAAAACCAATAGAAATTTTCAAAAACCTCTAAAAAAATCTCTTATGCTATCCTTATTTAGTATTTAGCTCATTTTATTTATTTTTCTTTTTGCCCTTCAAAAGTAGGTATTTACTTTACTAAGTATTTAGTTTAGCACCAGATGAGGAGAATTTATTTCTATTTTATTTTTGTCTGATTTTCTTTACTCGTTTTTCGTTTATTTGTTTAAATATTGTAATATTTCTATGTATGAGGTTATGTTTTACAACAAACAATATTATAATAAATGGGTGTTTAGGTAAAAAAATCCTGAAAATCTATAATCCTTGAACGTATCGGTATAGTCATAATTGTTTCTTTCACGAATCATGAAATATTTCCAAAATTACCAAAATAACCGCAAAATTACCGGTAAATTACCACCGAGAAAGAACAAATGAAAATTACCGGTAAAATTCAATCTCTACCAGCAAGTTTATCTGAAGATGAATAAACCGGGCCTAAGAGACAATAGACAGTAGATGTATTCAATTCATGACAAAAAACCTTAAAGTCTTAACAATCATCAATATTAGAGTTAGGTTCAACTTGAGAAATAAAACTATAAATAAAAATGAAAAAAAATACTTGAATCTACAGATTGCGAAATATAAAGTTGACAGAACCGTCAGCCAGCTAACCTCGATTATACAACAATAAATACACACTCAGTAATTTATAACACATCAATAATGGGCCACTTTCACGTGCCGGAAATATGGCAAATTATGATATTTTTTGACTCAGATACCTACATGAATGCAACCGCAGTAAATATTTGATTCTGATCTCAGCCTCGCTGTTGGAGAATTGCGCCTCTGAAATTTGTTCTCTTGAGGGAATTTTAAGAGAGTCTGGCATAGAATATTTTAGTATCAAACCTAAATTGAAATTTAAATTCTGGAAAATAACAATACCTCTTTGACTATAAGTACAATTTTAAAACATACTAGACATGCATCTTCTTTTTCAGGCTGTAGTAACCGAATTCCTAATCTGTTACGCTGACTTGATTTTCTGTGATCATTTGCCCAGCATCGATCAACCTGAGCTGGCTGAAAAAGAAAATTTACTCGCCAAAAAGTGTCGGCCCAACAGTTTGGCCATATCCACCCCCACCAAACTGATCACTTTGGAAGAAGCCAGAACTAAGCATTCAACCATTAAATCGGAGGAATGCAACTACATTGAAGTCGGCGGCGGGCCTAATAATCTGCCTAAGAAATACCATACGATTATTGAATTGCCTCCGGGTGCAAGAAAACGAGGCCACACCAAAAGGTCGCCCTTGGGATGGAGGATGTTTTTTACGAGATCTTCTAGGAGTGCCCCACAAGGTTCGGTAACGAAGAGTCGGAAAGCTTCAACCCCAATTACTATAAATGTTAGTTTGAGGTGAGAATGGGTTTTGGAATCTAATAAAACATATTTTAGGATAAATCTGTTACTGAATCTGACCTGACGGACATGAGAAGAAAACTCAGATCAGTTAAATCAGCGGAGAGTTTAACTTCGGGCCATTCGGAGCCTGCTAGTACTGAAGACGTTTTGGGTCCATTACATTCTTTGAATAAACCTCCAGGCCATAATAGGTGATATTATTAACTTTATCTAACTATAATTTTCTACACTTTCCAAAAAGTTGTTTTTCCCTTTTCACTCATTGCAACATTATCAATGTCTGTTATATCTAGTTATTACAACTAAAAATTGTAGGAGCTCTGTGTACCTACTTAAAAATTATAGTTTATTTTCTAATATTATCTTTTCTCTTAGATCTGTTTCACATGATTCTTATTTCGACACCTTACAATCGTCACAAAACAATTCAGAAGGATCTCTATTAGATCTGAGCGAAATCCACTTGAATTTTGATTTGGAAGAATCTGAAATGCGAATATTCTCTGAAGACGAAAGCCTAGTTAGCTCACCAAGGATACAAAAAGATGTAAGAATACTTTTTTGGTTCTATTTCATATAATTACTTTTATTAGTTTAAGAAGTGTGTTTAACATTTTTCTTGTCTATTTTAATTTAGAGCACACAATTTTTTTGACTAATGCGAAGTTATTCACCTATAATATATGTGGTAAATGTCACTCATCATCTTCACTTATTTTTTTATTCTACCTTATTACTAGCTATAGGTTTAGGCAGCAGCCTGTATGACTAAGACATGTTCAGTAGATGCAGTTTTGGCTCTAGGCATATTTAGTAGTTTACAAGCATTCATGAAACTAGCATATTATTTTACATAATAAATTTCATTAGTTTAGGATACACTGGCATTTTTGGATACACAAAATACTATAGGTTTGTTCCAATCTCGCAAAAAAAACCTCAATCTTCCTGTTTGTGTTTGAACTAGATTGAAACAAACCTGATACATATTCAATTTTCTTTTTCTCGAAAATAAGCAAAACCTTATTTAGCTGATACAACGGCGCATACTCACAAGAGCTCGACCTGAAGACTATACTAGCGCCACAAACTCGGTGAATCCATCTCCAAAAAAACAGGCTCGAGTAGTTCTGTCTCCAGAATCCATGTCCAGAAAAAGGACAAGATTAGAAGATCAGTTATCCGATATTCAATACATCGATTGCAATACTCCGGAAAATGTAGTGAGTACTACTGCGGTGGTGCATGCTATGCCTATCAGTCCTGAAGATGGTGGATTTAGTGGTCCTAAGAATAAAAGTCCCAGGTAAGAACTACTGCGATATACTAGAATATATTTGAAGACCTCATAATTTGTTATAGAAATTCCGACAATCTGGACAACAAAAGACAATCTCTCAACCTCGAATCTACCAACTTAAATCATCCAATCACCAAATCCTATACAGATTTGGAGCTCAATAGACAGTACCTTGCTGGAGCCAGTCTTATGACTACGACCCCTACACCTACGTCTCCAGGTTACAAACAATTAGGAGAATCTAGTGGTAATACTACTCCGGGGTACTCGCCCAACTGTGAAAATACTCCTCCAGAAATTGGTTATGAAAATTTGAGGAAAAATGACCTGGACACTCCCAAAAAGCCTCCTCTTACACCAAATTATGAAAACATTTTAACAACGATTAGTATTACTTATAAGTCACCTCCTAGAAGTGCTGCCGCGTCTCCAATGAAGAATCCTGTTTATGAGAATGTAATCTTAAATGCTGAAAAAGTAGATATTCCCACGAGTACAGCCAGTTTACCAATTCAAGAAGCTTCTCAACCAGATATTTGTGATGGTGTTGAGTTTCTTTCAGTCCAAAAACCATCAGATAGGCCTAAGAGTCTTAGCGCCTTGGAAGATAATCATAGTTCCACGGATTCCACAATTAAAGCTAATAGTAGTAGTGCCATCTGTAATACTAGTGAACAATCATCTTTGACTTTAAGCCTTAATGACCAAAGAACTGTAAGTTCTAATCAGAGCTCAGGATCTAACATTCAGTATACAGCGAGTTTAAGTTCGGCCCCTCCCTATCATTATATAGATAATTCTGGCAGATTGAGTCCAACAGATTTAAGCTTAAGCGAAGTAGTACAAAGTTCTTTGTCGAATCTAACCACTAGTCAAACTTCTATAAGCACGCCGATAAGTCCTTCCAAAATAAGTCCAAATGTAAGTCCTACAACTTCTGATAGTAGGAATTTAAGCAACGAAAACCTTTTGACTAAGGACAATGAAGTTTGGTCCATACAAAGACCTACAAGCATCAATTTAATTGACTTTAGTCCTCAAGATGTGCCGAATAGTCCTAGCAGATCGTGCTCACAGAATGATAAAAGAAAATCAGATGAAACAGAGTCTTATGACGAAAACGCCATCTATCAACAAGTGAAATACTTTCGAAGGTCTATACACGAAGTAAACGCTTTGCTCGATATGGATGCTTCTGAACAAACTCCTGGCAGTGAAAATATTGATAATGACAAGCAGATTGAAGAAGATGAAACAAATTTTGACTCTTTAGAAAATGAAGTAAGTCATGTTTATGAAAACCTCGAAGGGGAGAGTTTAAGACATGATGATGTTAGTAGTTCAAGGAGTGAGGATAATAATAAGACTGATGAAACCGATGCAACAAGCCAAAGTATTAAGGAAGAAGAAGTTGTTGAAGCTAAGGAGAGATTTAAAGTTAAAGACTTAACTAGCCGGTTCGAAGTAAAGAAAAACGGCAATGTTGAAAGCGGTGTGAAAGCTACTGCAAGAAAAACTAGTCTTACAGAAAGTGGTAGTGATAAAGGCGTCGATAGAAGTTTGAGTGAAGAAAATGCAAGCACTATATCTTCAAATTCTACCAATCGAATGTGCATGTTTTACGAAAAAGAAAACTCGGATTTCGATCAGAAATCTACGATATCGACTTCTAAAACGCACAGCAAAAGTTCTAATTCGACCTCCAAATCCAGCAATAGAGAAACCTTGTCTAGTGAAAAAAGTACAACAGAGGAAAGGAGTATGAGTTCAAGTAGTAGTAGTTCCATGAATCGTTTGAGGATATTTTACGAAAAAGACAGCCTGCCTCCTTGTTTGAGGGCCAGAAATTTAAAAAACCAACTAAAAACGAGATCACTGGACGAGGACGAGTTTGAAAAGGAATGCGGTTTGAGCGAGACTAATCAGCGAAGGAAGTCGATGGATGAGAATATAGGGTAAGAATCGAGCTTGTTTAACATCTATTTAGTGATTTGTCCATTTTTTAAATGTGGATTGTTTTTAGATATTGAATTTTTTTTGTGAAATCCTGAAAAAAAATCAATTTCTTCTATTTATTGAATGTCAAATTTGTGTCAAAAAACTCTATTTATTATACATTTTATGTCAAGTGCCTCATATTAATCCATTCATAAAGAACCTACATAGCTGCACATGGTAAATTGTTTTTTTTTTTGGGGACAAGAAATAATCTCCATAATTATTGTACTCATATTTATGTTTTTGTCTAGATATAAAACGAATTCTCTACCAAAAGTGCTAAACCAACCAAAACTGTTACCCAAAGACGAAAACGGTCAAATGGAATCGCTGCATTTGTCCCATAGTAGCGAGAAAATCAACATGCTAGGAGGTGAACCAAAAAATTCAGAGGAAGATGAGGAACAAAAGAAAAGGGAACGAATCGAAAAGTACAAAGAAGAAAGACGAAGAATATTGAGTGAAAAATTTAGGTATATATCTAAGTTGAGTGCATTTATAAGTATATGTACAACTAATTTGTTTCAGGTCGGAATCCTTCAAAGAAGACAAAGACATCTTACGTAGTAGACTGAGAATATATAAGGGCCGCGAAGAGCCAGTTGATAGTGCCAAAGAGGTAGACAACGATAAGCCACTTCCGGCCAGACGAAAAAGTACAAAAAGTGAGAGTGAGAGTATGAATGAGAAACGTTTATCGGAAGAGATAACGAGAAACAATACCAATTCTAGTCCTGGGATTAATGTATGTATTTCATTTAACTCGAGTTCCTAGCTTTTAATATTTTATGTGTAGCCTCCCGCAAAAACCACTGTAACTCCAAGCCCAGCCAAGAGTTTAAGTTCCTTGACGACGGCCACTAAAATGGCGCAGCGCGAACCTGAAGTTATTGCAAAACCACCAAAAACTGGCAGCTTGAAAGTGAGAGCAGCAGTTTTTGAGCAAAATCAAAAGTCAATTCCTGTTACTGTGGATTTTAGCAGGTCAAACAGAACGTCGTTACGGGGAGAGAAAAAAGATGTGGTCGATAATAAAGTGTTGAGGAATTCGGTGGAACGAGAAATGAATCACAGTAAGTGTTTTATTGGCGTATTTATTTAGGCGGCGAAATAAATTGAAAATTAAATTAAACTAAACTTTAAAAATGCAGTTTATACCTAAAATTAAAAATTAAGGATTTTTTGAAATTAGCTAGCTTTTCACGTAATCACAAATGACAGAAAGGAACATTGAAATAAACAAAAACCAGCTAAATAGATCGATCTCCTTAATTTTTAATTCTTAGTTGAAAGTTAGCCAACTTTCAATTAAATTTAATTTAATTTAATTTAATTTTTTAATTTGAGGTATAAACGACAGCATCAAATTATGGACGTTTAACATTTAAATTTTAGGTTTAGTTTAATTCTCAATTTATTTTAATTCTTAATTCAGAAGTATAAACCAGACATAAACAGTCTGGTTCCTGGAAATGCGGTTAAGGTGTGGAACGCTAGATGCTAGAATATTATCCTCTTGAAAATATATTTGTAGTAAGTTGTTCCATTTTCACCGCAAAAACACTTCGGAAGCGGAAGAATCCTCTCGTTTTTATTCTAATTGATGACTTCGCCGATCAGTTAGCTATCTTTAATTAGTGAATGAAAAATGACAATGACCGACATAGAATGGTGCATCCATCGATAGAATTTGATGAGAATAAAAACGCAGGAAGAAATTAAAAAATTATCACCTAACCCAAGAAACAAATGTCAGAAATTGAAAACAAACCGAAAAAACCAAGCTTTTTGATCGGTAGATTCGGTTGACAGTTGGGACCAAATTTTTCAGGAACCGCGTTTCATAACCTAACCAGATTTCAGGAGTGGTTAAGTTTCGGAAAGGGAACCGGAAAACCAAGAATCTTGGTTAACTTACGGAACGTCGCCTGGGTTTTCAACTCATGTCTAAATTTGTCATGAACTTATGTTTTTTTTTTCTATGTGGTTACTGGTTACTCAATTTTTCACTGTATGGAGATGCTCTATAAAATTGAAATATGCGGTATTTCTTCATTAATAGTTTATTTACGAATATGGTGCATTTATATGGCCATTACAAAGATGATGAAATGTACCATACAGGGTGTCTGGAAAATAGCGTAAAAACTCTCCACTACATGGTGGAGGACCCTTCAGGGATCCCCAGAAAAATAATTTAATAAATTTGGCATTCTTAAGACAGTTATTAGCATTTTATTGTTTATTAAAATTGGCAACACAGAAATCCCGTTGACAATTAAGCTGGCCACAGACTAGCATACATGTGCGTTATACATGTTTGTCATAAACGCTTGTGTGTTCATGTTTGCCTGTTTGTGGGAAAAAATCTGCAAGCTGACCAGAATTAATGCACGCGCAAGCTTGTACTTGCATAAAAGAGTATCAGTGTGTGGCCCATGTTCACTCTTCATTTGCACACATTGTTAGTACTGTGGCTCGTGATTTCATCCGCAGTGTATTTTTATTTTTTGAAATTATTTGTTAAGGTTACATGAATCATGAATATTGTTCCTATCGGTTATTGTTATTTTCTAAATTATACAAATTTAATAGTCTTTAGTTATTAGTGATGTTATTTGTGTATCTAAATTTATTTTTTCCTATCACACGCTTCCAGTAGGTAGCTAAATAGCGGAGTGTGGCTGTAACAAAGTAATTAATCATTAAAAGTTGTTGGAGTGATTGGACCGCATACAACCTAATGAATAATTTCTAAAAGTCCTTTACTTCATGTTCTTGACCCGTAACTTAATTTTGACATTTTTCCATTTATACATGGTCACATATAAGTGACGATTGTTTCCAAAGAGTAGGAAAAGTGCTAGTGTTGAAAGAAAGTTGAAAAATATCTCTGAGTGGTGCTGCAAGAGACCGACAACATCTTTCAAGGAAAACATTGGGAGCTCTATCAAGACCAGCTTTTTTTGTTGGCATCAATACTTTAAATCTTTCTGATGATCTCGCTTGCGGTAAAGGAATGGTTGCTTATAGTCCTTGGGCCCAGATCTAAATTTATTATTTATGACCACACCGTCGAAACTTTTTGTATTTGCTATTTGGGTGGAGTCGGACAAATTTTGAGCTCAGCGCATCATGGTAGTGGGGCGTTTGTCTGTCAAGCTGTCACGAAGTTGTCGATTTTATGCAAGAAAAAAATTTATCACCACATTGGTAATTTTTTTTTAATCAATAGTTTTTATCACATAAACAACAACAAAAAATGTGTCGGACAAAAATATTGGGGCAAACATACAAGAAATTTAATTCTTATAGGCTATCGACGTTCTTAAATTATAAGTGTAGTAAGGAGGGGTTTTTACTACGGATTGTTGCAGAGGAAAATAATCGATGAACACAACTAATTTAAATAGACTTTAATAATCATAATTGGGAGCAAAAACTAATTAACATAACTTAATAATGCACGTTTTCGTTCTGGCATCTAATAGAATGTCCGCGCCAAAAACTGGCATTGACATTGTCACTTTTTGCGGGATGTCACTTCTGTCATCACCGAGAGCAGTGTTGCCAAATCAAAAATAAGACGGTAAAGAAGAGAACTGTAAATTGGCGCGCGAAATTCAAATTTAAATGCTACAACTTCGGCTAGCCTGACATAAGATCGTCCCGATCTAAACCGTAAAGAATATAATGAAAATACAATAAAAATGTAATTGAATAATATCATAAGCAAAATATGGTAAACTTCATAATATATAAAAGATCATAATAATTCATAATGGTTCGTAAATGATAACAAACGAGTCATAAATTTCATAATAGGCATAAATAATATAAATGGACATAGTCATAAAGGATTCATAAACATAATAGTAATCACATAACATAATGAAAATTTGTCCAATTCATGATACATATTTCAAAAGTTTTCATAAGTTTAATTGTATCTAGAAATATAAATACAAAGTTTAATAAGCATCATAATTCATAATACATAATATTTTCTTAAAAATGGGTTAAACATAAGACATAATCAAAAGAAATCAAAGTTGTAAGTAAACATAAGTATATAGATAAAACATATTATCCACATAAACTAAATGAAGTACATAAGTGATTGTACACATAAAGGTAAGTTGAACATATACATAAAAGGTAAGTTTGTATTAATATCATTAATGTAACCATAACTTCATATTCTCGGGGCTAGAGACTCCTTCGAATGGTCTCTGGGTTATTTGAAAGTTATCAACATCTGTAATTAGATACCTATCATTTTCTAAAACTTTCTTAACCTCGTAAGGCCCACGATACTTAGGAATTAACTTCTTATTAACACCTGGGGTTACGTCAGTATTTTTAATCATAATGTAGTCGCCAGTTTTATATTTATAAGGGGGTTTATGCTTTTTGTCAAAATATTGTTTATTGTACTCTTGTACCTTAGCATTCTGGCGCTGTGCGTCTTGCCTAATTTGTTCTAAGTCTCTGTCATAAGGGGTTTCGGAATCTAAAAAGTCTCTAAGTTCATCTTGGTCTCTTTGGTTTACACCAAACAATAGCATGGAAGGGGTATTAGCAATAGATCGGCAATAAGAATTATTTATAGCAAACTCGACTTCAGGCAAATATTTGGGCCATTTATTTTTAACTTCAACTAACTTTGACAACATAGGGGTCAAATCTCTATTAATTCGCTCAATCTGACCGTTTGATTGTGGGGAACTTGTGGCAATCTTAACATGTATAATATTGTTTTTAGCCATAAAACTTTCAAATTCTAAGGACGTAAAAGCAGTTCCTCGGTCTGACACAATTCTTAAAGGGCGGCTATAATTTTTAAAATATTCTTCTAACTTATGAATTACTTCGATGGTTTTAGTGGTTTTTACATCGTAAAGCTTGACAAATTTTGTAAAACCATCTATTATCTCAAAAACGAATTTTTTATTTGTAGGAGACTTTTCTCATGGACCATAATGATCAATGTGGAGGGTCAAAAATGGTTTGTCACCTTTAGGTATACCATGTAAAACACCTTCTGCCCTTTTTGCTGAATAAGATATACATTTAATACAATTTTGTATATATTCTTTAACCTTAAGATTTAAGTTTGGAAACCAATAAACTCTAGAAATGTATTCTGTGGTTTTGTCTATCCCTAAATGTCCTAACATGTCGTGGCAGTGAAAAATGACTTTATTCTCCATGGAACTTGGTACATAAAAAAGGGTTTTTGTCCTATCCTTGAATTTGCGGTAAACCAGACCATTTCTCAACTCAAAATGTTTATCTTCTCCTACTAAAAGTTTGTCTCTAATAATCTTAATGTTAGAATCTAAGTTTTGAGCAATAGAAAGGTTTTGTTCAAAAGTGTTTTCCTCCAAAATCAGAACACTATTTGCACGACTAAGGGCATCGACATGCTTCATGCGGTTGCCTTCTCTGTGTTCCAAAACATAATTATAATTCTGAAGGATTAAAGCCGATCTATTAATTCGACGGTTAATTTCCTTTTTATTTAAGGCTAATTTTATGGAATTACAGTCCGTTAAAATCTTAAAGTTTGGCATACCTTGTAAATAAACTCTGAATCTTTCAAGGGCGTTCACAATGGCAAGCATTTCTAGTTCGTAACTATGCATTTTAGATTCTGGTTCTGATGTTCTTTTGCTAAAATAAAATACAGGTTGCAAAAGATTATTTTTTTGCCTTTGCAAAAGTATAGCACCATAACCGACAGAGCTTGCGTCACAATGCAATTCAGTTTCCAAGGTGGGCGAAAAAATAGCAAGAACAGGGGCGTTAATTAATTTGGTTTTCAGAATATTGAAGGCCTCTAACTGGCTGGGGCCAAACTCAAAACATTTTTCTTTTCTCAATAAATCATAGAGAGGTTTGGCTAAAACAGAAAATGAGGGTATGAATCTTCTAAAATAAGAGGCCAATCCTAAAAATTGCTGAACTTTCCTGGTACTAGA